GTTGCATCCATGTGTCTTTGGTATGTATCACCTCTCATCGAATTGGGCGATTCAGAAATATATTATGCACTTCTTGGCGAACAAAATAAATGGACAGCTATTAGTCAACAACGAATTATATCAATAGCCAATCAACCACAAAACAAAATAGCAATTATAAGAATTCGAGGTGCACCTGGTGAAACAGTTTTAATGGGAGTTTATCACAGTGATTTAAAATTCATCACTATAGGCTGCAGTATACCGCCTGATATTGATCAAATTGAAATAATTATTTCAGTAGCAGATGTTATATGCAATTAAATAAAATAACTCATCGAAATATTTTAAATGATTTTTTTTTGATTTGAATAAAAACAGTTTTTTAAAATTTGCATCAAATAAAAATATTTCGAGTTTGTATGCGGATGGGTGTGATTGTGTTGGGTGTGGGTGGATATCAGTTAGAGATTTACTTCCACACCCTCTAAAAGAAGTTTTGACAGCTGAAATAGTTCCAAAACTGAAACTCTTGTCTTGTAAACAATATTACTATTGCACAAATTGAAGATGGAACTTGAAATTCAGTTGTTAAAACTACATTAGATTATTGTCATGGTCATTTAAACTCTTTCAAAACTAATTTAAAGAGTTGCCAAATTGACGAAAAAATACAAAACTTACTGTTGAATTATAACTAATACGACAATGTGTTTTGTGAAATACAATCTAGTACTACAAAAACCAAAGAGGAGGTTATGGAGGGAGTGAAAACAAGCAGGGTGTGGGTGTTGGTCACTATCTTGTCTACGCTCACATCCACACCCACACCCTCATTATATCAACTTGTTTCATAATTCTGATGAGAACTATATATTTCATCATGAATTAGAAAGTTAATCTCGTCTATCCATAGAAAATAAGAGAATAATTTGTTCCAGAATTATATAACATATTGAAAAATATTATCAACATTTTTTCACATGAAGCTGCATTATTTACATGATGTCCCAAAAGTCGTTTATGTGAAATAATTTTCATTTAACTCTTCAGTTCCATTAGACTTAATCGATTATTATTTTTTCATATGATGTATATCCAAGAGGGAAACAGCGGACTCCAGTCCATTGGAGATCTTTAGAGTTTCATGAAGACTAATCGAATTTTCAAGAGTATCATACGTAAAACCTTATGGCTGTTTAATGAAATTGTTTTGAGAAGCTTTCGTCTGTCTTCATCAGAACAAACTCATTCTATAACTATTCCCGAAGTAAAACACTACTTCTATTCGACTCAGAAGAAAAAGACAATTGTAAAAGCAAGGAATATTTTACTTTATTATTTTTTTGTTCATCTGAGTAACTCATATCAATTTCTCGTTCATCAATCGATATTAGCTGTTTGTACAATAGCAACTGGGTAGTCCATTCTTAAGTAAATATTTTATATTGTAAGAATTTCTTATTTCTGGCACATTGTTTTCTTCATGTAGTTTCTTTTGGTATTAAGGCAATGGATACTCATGGATATCTCTTGTTTGGTACTTACAAGGGAACCTTTTCAGGTGCCAGAGCGCTTTTCAGTCGGAATTTTGCGCATCTTGTAGCCCATAGTGAGCTATGTTTATGGTAAAAAAAGTTCGGGCCTCTGGCTTGTTTCTGCGAAGATATTGAGCTTCTAGTGAATTTTCTCTACAGTACGCCCACATTAACAGCAAAGCTATACTTTCGAATTTTGGGTGTGGCTGAGGGTGTGGGTGTGGGGTGTGGGTGTGGGTGTGGGTGTGGGTGTGGGTGTGGGTGTGGGTGTGGGTGTGGCTGGATGTGGATGTGGGTGTGTGGCTGTGGGTGTGGCTAGGGTGTGGGTGTGAGTGTGGGTGGGTGTGGGTGTGGGTTAAAACAAGTATCCCACACACCCACACCCACACTCAAAGCCACAGCTACAACCACACACCCACATCGACCCACACCCATCCACACCCACACCCCACACCCACCACCCACACCCCACACCTACCCCATCCATCCACACACACCCGCACCCACATCCACACCCACACCCACACCCTTGTTGTTCATGATAATAACTAAGTCAAAGTCAATATGTTAAAACACGTGAAATAAACGTAAACACTTCAATAGATCTTCAATACTTTATTTAAGAATATCTATTTTTCAGTACTACGGTTATTAACTAATTATAATAAGAAAAGATCCAGTCACTTATGTTGATAAAGTTCATCGAAAACAGCAGCTAATAAGAGAAATAAGACACAAAAACAACGGAACAAAATATTTTACAAATATAAAACACAGGTCAGAATGACAAGAAAGTGAAACAAAGTTGCATATTCACTTTCTACAAGTCTCTATACTAGTGACATGATGAACAGATCAGTCAGCATTAGTTGAAAGAAGACATATCAGAAATAAAATGATTATTTCATAGTACTAGCAGTTGAAAAGTTACTCAAATTAAGTCATCTATGGAATAGATAGACGAATCAGTCTTTATACGTTTTGGTAACGAGTAGCATATTAGTTTTACTATACGAGCAAATAGGTAAATTAAATATTTACTATTTACTTGTCTAAAGTAAATATATAAACATAATATGTCCATATTTTTAGTTAGATACACATGTTTTGTAGTGATCTGCTAACAAACGATACAAATTCTGCCTTTTTTTTTGCAGTAGTGTCAAACTTGAAAGTTGAATTCAACTATTCAACTATTCAAGTATTCAGCTATTCAAGTATTCAAGTATTCAGCTATTCAA